CACCCATTCAATGGACGAACCACTGCTAAAGTTGCTTAACTCCAACGATCGCAGCCGAACGCGCTAACCACCTGCGCCATCGATCTGCTATAGCGTACAAATTTCATCAAAATCTGTTTTGTAGTTTTCGCGTGATTAAGTATAATAAATATGCAAACTATCAGGTTAAATAAAACTAGTTTTAACGGGTTAATGTACGAAAACTATATTTATTTATTGACGTTTCGCAACCTTTTCTGGTCGGCATCGTCAGAATAATGTTTTTTTTTTTATTTAATTTTGTCCAGCTACCTTCGAAAGAATTTTAATTAGGCGTTCGGTTATTTCATTGGAAGATTTTTAAAATTTTATTGTGTATGTATGAATTTATTACTTAATTTAGTTTATAAAGTAGTTAATTTAGTTTATAAAACACTTTATTTAAAATTATTTTTTGTAATTTTGAGTTTATTTATTTGATCCAAACTAACGTAAACTACCACCGATTCCAAAATTGGGAGACCTTTCTGAGAAGAACCGGCGAAACAAACTCAAGAGAGGCTTTCTATCTCCTTCTTATGTTAAATCATGCAAACGAAAAGAACTAATAGTAACTATCAGATTTATAACATTAATGTAATGAATTCGTATTTCTCTTAGTCACATCAGTTAAGAACAACTACCTATATTGATTTTATTAATCTATGTTTTTTGGAAATTTTGTTATATTGAAAAAGTTCTTTTAGGAAAAAATTAGAAAATTGTTAGAGGCAAGTAAAAAGCTACTTCGAAGGATCATAGAAGGGCATCGTTCGGATTTATATAAAATTAACGGCACTATTGTCAAAAATCTAAATATTCGAACGCTCAATAAAAGTCTTTCGACAAAGTAAATAAAAAAGCATTATTCTGACGATGCAGACCTGAAAAGGCTGCGAAACGTCAATGAATAAATAACCCGTTAAAACTAGTTTTAATTGAATGAGTGATATGCGTGAAAAGCTAAGAAACAAATAAATTGCTAGTAACTAAAGTTAACTGGGACGAAGTCGCGGGGAGAGCTAGTTTGAGGACAAATTCAGGTATGTATTTTTTTTAATTTTCTTACGATTCCAAGAATTCTTGCTTGTGCTCTGTCCCGTTTAATTTAGTTATAACTTAATTTTCTTTTTTATTAAAGTTACATCGTTTTTGAGAATCTCATAGGAACCTAGCATATTTCCGGGATTAAAAGTACCTTATGTGTCAATCTACACACATTTCATCCTAATCTGTTCAGCCATTTTAGCGTGGAAGGGCAATAAACAAACATCCGTAGAAACTTTCGCATTTATAATATTATACAGCAGGAAGGATATAATTAGTACAATTGGATATCAGTTTTACTATTGACAAAAATTTTATTATTATCTTTCTTCACTCTTAGCATGACATAATCAGTTGAAGTTAGTCGAAAAAGAGTTTCATCATTCAGTATTTTTTTCGATATCATTATAATGTTATTAGAGGAGCTCGATGGCGCAGGTGGCTAGCGCGTTCGGCTGCGATCGTTGAAGTTAAGCAACTTTCGCAGTGGTCGGTCATTGGATGGGTGACCAAAAATTTACTATCTCGAGCTCCTCCGTGCTTCGGAAGGCACGTTAAGCCGTTGGTCCCGGCTGCATTTGCAGTCGTTAGCACCCACCAATCCGCACTGGGCCCGCGTGGTGGGTCATGGCCCAATCTCCCTATTCCATCCATAGGGAAGGCCTGTGCCCCAGCAGTGGGGACATTAATAGGCTGATGATGATGATGATGATAATGTTATTAATTAGGTATATTACTACAGAAGGAGCTATATCTGTACCCCTTTTTAAGAACACTTACACACGAAGAAGTGTTAGATTTTGCATGTATGAAATAACATAAACGTTTCAAATACTGTCATGCATTTCACACAAACATTTAGCTCAGGTTCGAGTGGTCTAGAGGCTCCAGATGGAGAAGAGACTCCCCCCCATGGGGAGATGCCATCCGTCTGGAATACAACTAGAGGCACTCGCTAAATCTCAGCTTGAGGTCTCCTTAGGATCTCGCAGTCCCCAAACCCGGTGACGCTGTAAAGGTCATCTGCGACCAACAGCATACACACTCAAAAATATTGACGCGAACCGCGTGGCCGCAACGACCAGATTAACTAAAGTCGGTCCTCTAGTTTTATGAATATGGCTGCATGCAGAAAATTAAAATCAAAAATAAAACAACGGAAATTATTTTATTAAAATAACTTTTTATTTTATTTTTAACTTAAAAAATACATTTTTTATTTAATTTTACAAAAGCCACTAAAACGTGGCTTACATTTACATAGTAGGGTCAAATAGTGAAAGTGTAACAAGGGGCATAGTGTAACATAAGAAATATCTCTGCCCTTTTCTTATTTGTCTATGGTCTGTCTTGACATGGTTTTATTAGTTCCATATGCCGCCATTTTAAGCAGCTGTCATTAGACGTCAAATAGCCGGGTGTAATACAGAGATATTCCGAATGTTACACTGTAGCACTTGTAACGCTGTTCCCAACTTGAACCTACAATACTAAGTCACAATTTTATTTAGGAAAAAAATACTAAATTAATGTAATGTTTGAATTAAATGCACTTACTTATCTTCTTAATGATTTCTTGATAGAGTTTCGAAATGGGAAAATCATTTAGTAATTAATTGTACCTATTAAAATGTAATAAAAACATACACTAGCTATTAAAAGATGCGCCTGTAATAGGCAAAATAAAACTTTATCAAGAAATTACGAAAAATTCTTACTAATTAGTAACAGTTTTTAAGAATTTGACTACTAAATTTATAAATATAAAAAAAATACTAGAAAAAAAATAGACCTGAGCCGAGTGTAATATTGTTCTAGTATTTTAATTTAAAAATAAAATAATTGTATTACTTAACTCATATATAACACATCGACTGTTTAACGATTGTAATGATACAATTTATTGACCAATATCTTACATAAATTAATTAAATTATTCTACGGTAACATCGATTCGAGTATTCATTCATTGATAGCTGAGTACTCAATTATTTAATTTCAGGGACCATCCAGCTACCATTATTTCATTACACTACTTAGCGTGAGTTGCACCTACTTAATTTAAATTTAATTGTTCCGTTAAAGTACCGGTTCTATAAAAAAAATGTGTGCTTTTCACTTTATCTAGCTCTGTGGTGCAACTCACACTTATACATGAAAAGTGTCTAGAAATCAATTTTGCAAAAAAAATATACCTAAAGTAATTTTATACCAAATCTAGTCAAGACAGAATTTCTTCTTTAATTCCCGTGTATATTTTTTTTCATATTTTTTATCTGCATGTATAATATAAGTTAAAACTGTTAACTTAGATTTATGTAATGTTATAAATTAAACCCAAGTTAACAGCAGCGTCAATATTACGTACGTGAATTTCATAGTTACGTCATCCCTAGCGACTTTTCATTTTGTTCGTTCAAGTGATTTGATTAACCAGACTATTTAAAGAAGTTTGATCAAATTTTCGTGAATATGTGTAGAAATTATTACTAAAAATCAGTCGCCAATTTGACATAATAGAAATATAAACTTTCGAATTTATATTTGATCATCAATCTGTTTGAAACAGCCCGTTTCATCAAATTGGTTGAACATCTACGGCGGCTATAAGTAAATCCTACTAAAAATAATGAAACAAGGAATAAGAACAACATTAATATCAATTAAAAGACTATCAAATTAATGTTAATTAATTAATTATCAGTTAGCACACACATCGTTTTCCTTCTAATGACCACGTGAGGAATACCAAAGTAAATAGTATTACTTCCTCATGACTGCATTTAACGAGATTAGAACACCTTATAGTCCGATTCAAAGTCTAGAAAGACAAAATATGATAATGTTGGTCGCCGGAGGAGGGGGGGGGGGGGGTCCTTCAATAGCATCAGTTATTTTGCCTATAACTTCTAATTGATTGCTACGAAGGCGTTTATAATTTCATTAACACCGGCGATCCAACACATAATCATAATTATCTGGTCATCTTGGATCTAAGATGATGATAGATTGACAAAGAAACATCGAAAAGCAAGATAATAATGTGGGGTTCAGAGGGGACGGCAATATTTACGTGAACCGTTCACACGAGCGCTTATTCGACGCGTGTTAAAGGCGTTTAAATGCTCTCGATTTTATTAACGAAGTAAACCCTTATGCCCAGCCTCTGAAATAAAGCAAATAAAAACCTTAACTGCGTAAGATTATAGGAAACACACGATTATTATAAATACCTTTTCGAAGCATTGAAATAACGCAAACGATTTTTAACAATATTAATAATATCAATGTGGTCTGGCAGTGAAGGTATATTTTATCTTGTTTTATCTGTTTCTAAACACACAAACATACAAACTATGCCAATGCCAATGACGTCACCTATCAATATCGGTAGTCGTGCGGTCTGAGTTCTATCATTATTCATCGATAAGTTATCGCAAAGGACGCTCAATAAATTTTTTTATTATATTACGCACTTATTCTTTCTTTCTTTACCTACAACATGCAACACTCAGAGACGTGAATTAATTTCTAAGCTTCATTGCAGTTGTAGCTATGCAACAACAAGAGAACTTAAAAAACGATAAGTTACCCCGACAACGATTTCGAAATGGCGTTTCTGAGCGCTGCTGTTACCCATTAAATTAGACACTAATTTCATAGGATGGGAATTAATCTTAGATATACTTAAGAAAAGTTAGGCTTGTACCATAAACCTTTTGTATAAATTGATTTAAATAAATCCCCAAATGTACTAATAATGAATACTAATCATAAATATAAATAATTATACATTATCTAATCCTCAGTCAAAATAATGACGGGCGACTAAGGAAAATTAGTACGAGATTTCGCATTAAAATACTTATGACGTAAATCTATTGTTTTTTGATATTATTTGAAGTTTCTTCAAGTACTCTACTATTTTTTTTTTTGTCTTTTACAAATATTACATTTAAACTAAAAGCTACTATAAAAAACTAAATTTACTCTGCATGCACGTCAAATGATGCCGTAGTCTTAATTTCTAAAATTATTTTTTCTTCCTTCTTTTTCGGTGGCCAAAATACTTTATACCATAGCCGCGATGTTCAAAATGCGTCGTGCCAATACCAATGTTTATCCACAATTTTGACGTTCGGCCATTTTGTAGTCAAGAGTATTTCCCGCCGTTTTGGCTCGATGGCTTGCCCCAACTGTGGCCGTTGGCTCTCGGGTGTGCTGGGAACGCAGGGGCCATTCCCGTGGGAGAGAGCGGTGGTGTAGGAGGCATGAGGTTTGTTGCTGGATGGTACACTCTGGCTTGCATAGTGGGCTCATCTGTAATTAGAAAATGAAGCTTTTTGACTGTTGGTAACATTTGTCTACATAAATATATACTTTTAACGGATTGTGAAGGAGTTTCGCGTCACTCGATTTCATGAGCATGTTTAAAAATACAAGGTCTGATAAAATAATTCTATCCCAATTGTGTTTTAGTGTCTCTGGAGTTTTACAAGCCACACCAGCTATCCCTCACATTAACGACATGCTAGTTGCTTCTTCACACCTATTTAAAAGAGACAATAAGTGTTCGTTTTAAATAAGAACAGCTTTTCTTTACTTTCCTTGATTACTATATTATTTATTGGGGGCATATAAAGCCCACAAAATTAAAGGGTCACCATAAGAACAGCAATATCTTCAAGTGATTTCAAATTAATTAATGGTTCTTGTGAATCGTACTGTGGTTTATTTTTCATAAAATCATCATGTAAATAAATTTTCTTTCGGATACTTTTTAATTTAAAGAGCTAGCTTATGTAGTTTCAAAGTTATTTGGAGTTATTTGTTCTTGCTTCAGTATACACTGGTATATCAGGCTGTGAGTGCAATATTGCTTGACGACCTCAGGGGGCAGATGTTTGTGTGATGAATACGAGCATTTGTACTCCAGTCATGGATGTTTACAATGTATTTCTAGATAAATATAACTTATATATGGACAATATATGTATTCTATCCATTACCCGTAGCATCCCATAACACAAGCCTTACAGTGCTTACTTTGGGGCTAATTGGTGTGAGTGTTGGAAATATTTATTATTATTATATAATCTCTTATCTATTAGACAAGTCCGTCTGTCTGTGGTGCTGTTTCAGCGGCCAAGCCGTAAGAGATAGATAAAGAGAATATTTAAGTTATAAGTTAAGAATAGTCTGATAAGACTACAAACCGGATTTGAGTAACGTAGCACTTCCGGTTTTCGAGAAATCAGGTTTTGGTGAACATTTGGTTCACTGGTTTGATAGTTTTATATAATATAATAATTATTATATAATAATATAATTATAATTATGTAGGAACCTAAAGTATTCTTCTCCTTCGACTATGCATTAAGTAACAATGTGTGTATAAATTTGAATAAAACATTTATAACATTCCTTTTAGTCTTAAGGAAACAAATTTTATATTGCAATTCACAACCAGAACTAATTGTTGTTTGGGACTTTACACAATGTAACTATTTAATATAAACAAAAACCATTGATTAATTATTTACTCAAAACATGTCGACGTTATAAATATTTATAGCTAATAAGTTTGGGAAAAACACATGTCCTGTTTAACTCATCATCAGAAGACCAATGTATAATAACACTCCCTTTGGTGGAGTAAGGCTCCACGGGGTTGAGCATTGTCCTCTGGCCGGCAAGGTAAGGATGCCTGGAATGGCACGCTTTTCTGTTGCACCTTCGCGACTAGACTCCACTTACACTTAGGTAATAGCAGGTAGGATTTGCTGTGACTTAGTACTATCTACTAAGGTGTCTCGCGCACGGACGGCCGCGATCACGGCCAGTGCCCGCAACGTCCAGATTAACTGTAGAAACAATCCGAACGCGGCCGCACCCCTCAAGGTAACGGCTAACTAGAGCCGAGGTCCGATTCTCAGAGACGCCCTCTAGTTGAGCCGACCCCCTCAAGTTCGATTGGTCTAGAGGCTCCGTACGGCTTGAGGTTCCCTTAGGATCTCGCCGTCCCCAAATCCGGTGACGCTGTAAAGGTCATCTACGACCAACAGCATAGACACTCAAAAAAAACAAAAGCATTTGGCCGTAACGACCAACATCTGGACGTTGCGGCCACTGGTCGTGGTCATGGTGGTGCGCGAGGTACCTAAGACACCGTCATATAAAAAAGAGGTTCTTTATTCGTCAAAATATTTTAACACTGTCCTAATCATATATTACTAGTATATGTCCTATATTTATAACTAGCAAACCTAGAAAACTCCATACCGCCATTTTTCTGTTAAACTTCTTTAAAATTTTCTTTCATAGAAGTCTTGTCCTGACAACAATGAACATAAAAGTTTAAGAATTTGCCGTCCGGAAGTTATGAGCATACAAAATATATCTTTATTAATATATGTACATTAATATATACAGGAACAATGAACCTTAAACTAAAAATCTTAAAAAATATAATACAATAATTAAAATATATTACTAAAAGGAGTCCCTTTAGGCAAGGTTCCGAAGATACTGGCAGCGTTCCCCCTTTGAATAGTTAGACTAATTCGTTGTCCTAGGTAACTGCAAGCTCTTCGGTCTCCAGTGATGTCGACTAACCAACATACATATATTTTTTGCGCGTACATATATTTTGGTGATAATTTTGTTAATATAATATTTGCATTAATGAATAAAACACTCACTGTGGGAGAATGATCGTACGAATTGGTGCTTGGTGTTGAAGTCTTTGGCGGGAGGCATTGTGAAATCTGAAACAATTATGACAATTATGTTAATGATATTACAGACGGACAGAGTTACTTTTGCACATATCAATTCAATTCAATTTATTTGTAATCAAAAATGTTACAAGGTAGGTAAGTATATAAATAGCGATATAATTTTAAACTCTGATGGGCATAGCAAAGTCAAATATAAAAACAGGTGTTTAGTATATAAATTGTATAATATATATTTTTTTTATATAGCCAGGTAGGCAAATGACTCTACCCCACCTGATGTTAAGTGGTGATAAAGTCCAAACGCGAAAATAGCTGGTACAGCAGTTATAATAAACTGTTCTTTCAACCATCCTCAGCTTACCGGCCTGCAAAAATGCACGCCTCTCTTAAAGGACCCCAGATTGTAGGAAGGAGGGAACACGAGGGAGTGGGCAAAGAACTTATATATATATATATATATATATCTTACAGTATATATACCAAACGATATAATCAATGACGCAGGTGGTTAGAGTGTTTAGCCTGCCATCATGGAAACTTTGATTATTTACACTCGTGGAATTTGTGCAACTTTCGCAATGGTCGGTCGTTGGATGGGTGACCAAATTTTTTTTATCTCGAGTTACTCTGTGCTTGCATGCATCTGCAGTCGTTAGCACCCACCAATCCGCACTGGACCCGCGCCGTGTCATGGCTTAATCCCCCTATTCTATCCATAGGGAAGGTCTGTGCAGCAGTGGGGACATTAATAATGATAATAACAGACCTAATAAATCTACGTAAAAAAATAGTTTCCCCATACAACCTTCTTTTCTCAGATTACTTTCTACAAATTTATAATTTCATGACAAAAAAGACATCCAAAAGTCTTTAAAAAAGATCTAGTCAGAATTCAGAATCTTTATTCATATTGAATGTATAGTACAACTCTTTTGAATCATCCAAAAATTTTTTCCCGATCACTCGTTATTAGACATATTTTTTAGCTGCGGAGAAAAACGAGTGAAAAAAACTTCACAATATTAAAAGTATAATATAACAACATTTAAAATGTGAATATTGAACCAAAATGCAGTATAGCATGTGCGTACCAATACACCATGCATATATTTATTAAGCAATTTTTCTCCTGAACGATTCCATCCTAATGTCGTATTATAACGATAATGCACAACGATATCGTATTGATGAGTTCCCCCGGAACAGGAACGTCTAAAGTCACAATAACGATTGTAGAAAAAGTGTCTTTAAACCTTCAGCTTTACAGCCGGGAATGGTACAACAGAAATACGAATAAAGTCGGCTTCGATATCTTCGCGCAGTCTTATCATATTTTGATTTTTCGCGGAACACAACCTTAAAACGCTTATTGAATTCAGAGAAAAATAATCTTTAATAACAAACAGGTGAGGATGAAATTTAGTTTGATACCAAAATAGGGTTGTTCTCCTTTGTAACCAAAGACGTTCTGAGTCAGAACAGATTTATATCGTAGCTGAAGAAAAAAACAACACACAGAAACGGGGGGGTTATTTGTAAAATTGATTATGTTGACGACGGCCTTTTGAAGTTTTTCGGTGTTATACGACTGAAAAATCTGACGATCGACTCTCTAATTGAATCCCCGAAGGAGGGGATTCGGTTAAGCTCTTTGATTTCGCGTCGCTTTCTGAAGATTAATACCGTCTCGATACACAAGGACGCAGACGAAAGATCCTTATTGAAATATTTTGGATTATGAAAATCCACAGTAGTATTATTTATGCTTGTCAATAAGGAGTGGTTTCGGTGAATTTAAGCAACTTTTGTAGTGGTCGCTAGTCGGATGGGTAGTCGAAAGTAAAAAGTTGAAATGTCGCAGTCAGTAGCACCCACCAATGGGCACTGGGCCCTCGTGTTAGTCATGGCCGGTCTTACTGTTTATTCCATCCGCATGGAAGGCCTGTGCCCCAGCAGTGGGTACATTACGTTCCCTAAAATATGGTTGAGCGAAGCGATGGCTGTTTCATGCGTCATGCTCGTGAACGGGTACTGCCAGCGGAGATGAGTCTACCCTAAGTACTTTAATATTCAAGATGTTAATGTCTAGTTACACTTATATAAATAACACTATTTGTATTTATACTGTATGACACGGGAATCAAAAAACAGGTGAACAATTAATGTATAATTTCACATTATGTAAAAAAAGGTGATTTCATGAATCATATCTGCAGTCATTTTTCAACTTGACAACTCTGTAAATAATAAAACAGGGAGAAAAAAACAGCCCTTGCTGAGTTTCTTGCCGGTTCTTCTCAGTACAAGATCTCCCGCCGTAGATTTCCGAACCGATGGCGTAGATTCTAGACATTCATGAGTGCTTGTAACAGCCTAAACTGAACATAAATGATTTTGATTATGATTATTAAAAGGCTATAATAAGGTGAATTATTAAATAAATATCTTTCTTTTTTCTATCAAACATTGATATCATTTCGCGGTACTTAGATAAAGGCAAACTTATTATAATTTATAAGATTGCCACAGCTAGTCAATTGTTTTTATTTTCGGAAATCATACGACATTTATTTAGACGCGTACGGCAGTTTCCATTCGTGATAATATGTGATTGCTAAGCGATTCTGAAAAATTGTTCTAATGTGTGTAAGGTGGAGCACACTTACGTGAGTTATGCGAAAATAACACATTGTTTATATAGAGACACGTAAAATGAAGTAACATGTTCGTAATCTGTCAAAATCTCACGTTCTTCCGGATTCCGTAGGCAATTAAATAAATAAATATTTTCCAACACTCATAACAATTAGCCAAGCCCCAAAGTAAGCACTGAAAGGCTTGTATTATAAGATACTACGGTAACGGAAATAGAATACATTTACAGTACATATATAAGTATATTTACATATATAGAAATACATATTAAACATCCATAACTGGCATACAACTGCTAGTATTCATCACACAAACATCTGCCCCCACCGGGATTCGAACCCGAGACTTCTCGAGTCGGCGACACCATGAAACCCGGTGACAAATCACTCGGCCACTGAGGTCATCATAATTGCTTCCAAGGCAAACACTATTAGACTGATATTATAAAGGCGAAAGTTTGTCTGTAAGTGTGTATGTTTGTTAATTCTTCACGTCTTAACGGCTGGAGCGATTTTAATAAAATTTGGTACGGAGTTAGCTGACACCCTGGATTAACACATAGGCCTACCGATATTTCGGCACTGTTGCAAGCGCCATGATCAGTGACTCCGTGGTCATGGCGCTTGCAACAGTGCCGAAATATCGGAAACTCGCTAAAAACAAGGTCCATGGTAACAATCCCGTAAATAACTTATATTACTATAATGCATAAATAATTTTAATATGAGGAAAAATTCAATAACTCCCGAATTTTTTTCTACATTGTAAAAATTCTCATTATTTGTTTCTTAGGTTATCACGCACATCACTCATTGATTAAATCAGATTCATTTATTTATCACTGATTTATTTCTTTATTGGCGTTCCGCATCCATAAAAAAATAAATCAATGCATCTTATACCGTTGAAACTTGTTGTATTTAATTATCACTAATTGGACATTTGTACGGATTTCAAAGATCTCTCACAATAGCGTAAAATTTCCTAAATAACTGTATTTATCCGGATTAGTCGTGTCTTAGGGACTTTTTTTGTATAAGTGAATCTTACGTTTTATTTATTTTTATTTTTTTTTGAAAGAACGAGGTGCGTTTGTCCTGCTAATTGAATCTGCGACGCGAAAAATATCGCCAGGATTTAGTCGCACGGCAAAAAACGGCCGTAAATAAAATAAAGATCCGGTGAGGCGCGACGCGGAACGATTCGATAAGGTTCCGTATGCCTTAACCGAATTTAGAAAAACTTTAAACATTCATTGCATAATTTAAAAATCAATGTTGGATTTTCAGTGATACTAATATTGAAAATATATATTTATATATAAGGTATAATGATTATGCATAATAGCCTGTAATGTTTTATACGCATTACTGAATCATCAATAAGAATCTTCCTTAGGAAAACATTAGTAAATTAAAAGCTTTTGTGGGAAGCATTATCCTACTATATATTATATATGTTTGTATGTATGACCCATTCACCCAAAAAAGGCAGAACGGATTTGTGTGAAATTTGATACACAAATACTTTATTACCAGGATTGAGACACAGAATAATTTAAATCGGGAAAAAAGTTTAGGTTTCTGCGGGATTCCCGCGGACTAAGTCGCGGGCAGCCCCATTTTGTGTTCAGAAAGATTATAAATTCTTGGTCGTTTTATTAATTGTCCATCCATCCATCAAATCCATTTAAACACACACATATATATGTATGTACAAGTGTAAACATTTGTCTGTATCCGTGTCTGTGTGGAGTAAATGTTTTTTTTTAACATTTGTCATTTCGTCAATTTGTGACGAATTTTAAACTACTAATACTATTTTGTGGTTATCCAATACAAAATGCGGTGTGCAATAGGGTAAAAATAAACAAGTATGACTGCACTTACCTGCTTTAAAATTATTCTGTAAATTGAATTTGTCAATCACACGTTGTCAAAGAACTGTGGAATACCCACGGAATAATATAAAGTACAGACCATAACATCGGTTTCAATTAATTGTGCTCACATAATTTGAAAACAAACTCAGATTTTTGAAAGCTTGTTTTTGTCATTATTTCGCATTAAAAAAAACGAAGCTCCAATGTTTCAAACTCACGCGGAACCCTAAAAATCTTCGACGAGAAGGTTGGTACCAGTGAAAAATCTTTATTAAATCCCGCTCGAGCTAAATAAGTTCATTTGGCGTTGGGTGATTTTTTTTTACTCTAGGTTGGTTTTTTTATCACAAATTAGAAAACATTCTTGATAATTTGTATGGCTTACTTTTGGGGGGTAATTAGTGATTGTTCCGAGCGCGGGGTAAGAAGATGGCGGGGGGCGGGGAGGGGTGCAATCGGAGAATTAAATTATTCTTTTCGCTCCAACTAA